ACTTTACTATATACTACTAGTCTACTATATATTACTAGTCTACTATATACTACTAGTCTACTATATACTACTAGTCTACTATATACTACTATCTACTATATACTACTAGTCTACTATATACTACTAATCTACTATATACTACTAATCTACTATATACTACTAATCTACTATATACTATATACTACTAATCTACTATATACTACTAATCTACTATATACTACTAATCTACTATATACTACTAGTCTACTATATACTACTAGTCTACTATATACTACTAGTCTACTATATACTACTAGTCTACTATATACTACTAATCTACTATATACTACTATGCTCTACTATATGGCGCAGTCGTCAGAACAAGCGCCTTCACCTCGGAGATTGACTTACATGAAAAGAGTCAGTCAGCGCTCTATAGACTGAAAATTGTGAGCTTTCTCCGGACGCTCCAGTTTCCCCCCACAAAGAATGTCAACAGGGTAGGTTGGGATTAGCCCCCAAACTGACCCTTCCACCGTTGCTGTGATCCGTGATCAGACATGTGTCATAAGGTGGCTGCCAGAGGCGCCCTTAGAAAGCCTTCGACTCGATCAGATTGAGCTGCCTATGTAATTCAGCTTGGCTCTCAGCTGCAAGTAAGGATGATCAGCACACTCCCACTCTAACTACATTTATAGTATTACATATATTTGTTGTTGCGTTGTTCTTGTTTGCAGTTTGATAGCTTGTAACTAACCAAATGAATATTTTTGCTGACCTTTGACATTTTATACAAGTATAACAAACCGGCGAATAACGAATTGTCTAAATCATTTTAGAACGTTTATCGGCGATCCTATTCCTTATGATTCAACTCTGACACCAGAAGAACTTTCAGAAAAGGTATGGCGTTGGGAATGGTATAGCAACCGATCTTTTGGCTGTGTCTGAGACTCTTTTTTTAATGATGAGATTTAATAATGATGAGAAATTACCGAGAATTTCTTTTTTATATTATGAGCCTGCAGAAACTGTGCTCTCAGTTCAACGTTCCAATTGCACTTGTGACTCTGTCGAATGTATTGAACTTTTTAGAAGTCATTTTTTGACAGTTTACTTGTACTTTTGACCACCAGGCACTACTGTGTACATCAGCGAAATTTGTGACTACCATCAACAACATCACTGCCACCATCATCATCACCATATCATCGTCACTGCCATCGTCATCACCATCATTACCACAGCATCTTAGCATTTTCAGCAATATGCATTACATAGTATGCGAGTTTTTTGTACGGGGAGGGGGCATATGTTGCTCATAAAATTGATTCTACCATGTCAGATATTACAGTCCGATATTTTGAACTGAAAAAAATTCTCTCAGCGTCTAATTGGAGTTTTGCAGATACGAAAAAATATATAAGTTCTGCATATCAGATTTAAAAACCTGCTAAATAGTGATGTTCCAGATTTTGTGTTGAAATTTGCATACACTTTCCAAATGACCGACTTCCCTTTTCTTTCTTTAACCTAGGTTAAACTAGCAATTGAAAATCTGATTAAAGAGCACCAGAGAGTACCTGGCTCAATTTTGGTCGGATTGGCAGACAGATTTTCCAGAAAGAAACAATTCTGACTACAACGTGGGGTAAATATAAGGCAATGCTAAAAGCAGCCACTGTTGTGTGAAACCAGTCCAGTTTTTATATAGATCATTTTCATGGGTTCATGTTTTATTCTGGGATTATGTTTTGATGTTTGTTGAAAAATATTTATACTTCATGGAAAGGCAATACGCGAGCAAGATTACAATCATAAGGGGTTGTTCGGAGCAGTGGATGACAAAAAAAGCAATTTGAAGATCGGATGTCAGACCAAACCTATTTTTGAAAAGTGAATTTAAAAAGTTTACCATTTGTCAAAAGGAATGCGTTCAAGGATAAGAAGACAAAGTTACAGTAAAGCCAAAGGGATTTGGGTATCAGATTTTGGAACAATCGTTCGTATGTTAAAGCAAAATGGCGGCTTTGTTTTGTTGGAAATCATTTTTGTATACCGAAGAGAAAGTATATTCTTGGACAAAAGAAACTACGTTATTTTAGCAATTCCATGAATTCTGGAACAGTTCGTTACTCATTCAAAATGGCGACGATTTCCTTCAAGTTTGGCAAAGTACGTTTTGGAGGAATGAAGATGAAGAATAGCAATGATCCCCCGGCTTTTTTAAAGGATTTTGCTGGGTCTTCTCGAAGAATATATGGGGCATCACCGATCAATGCTTGTATTATAGTCAAAATATTAACAAATTTTTACGGGCATGGGTAAATTACGAATTAAAATCTTATTTGGGGATAAATATTAAATAAATTTATTTATATAGCATAGCTCTGTCATTTCTGCAAATCATCGGTAAATCCGACATCTCTGACATGAAACATAATTGAACTGATAAGATGCCAGAAGGAATGCTGGAGTCAATTGTATGTGTTTCCATAATCTATATGCACTTTCGCTCCTTGTTCTTCTAACTCGTAATTTCCACTGCCTACCCTTAGATCAGTGATAATTTCAAGTCACTGCATGAAAACTGTGCTTTTTATGTTCTTTATCTAAATAACGGAAGGCTAAAGAAGGCTACCATTTACTAATACCGAGCACGGATAAACTTGGTACGGGTAACCAGTTTTATCCGTGCTGTACCAAAAATTGAGCGTAGTGTAAACGGGGCTGGAGTGCACCTACTAGAGTACACCGGGAGTTTCAGTTTTTGTCAGTTTTCAGCCTCGTACCCAGGCACTTTCAATTGCTACACCGTCGCGGGATGCCAACAAGCCGTCAACAAGTTGTCTTCGCACTGCTTGTCCCAAGTTGTCAATAAGTTTGGAACAAGGTGAAGCTGTTAACAACTTGTAACAATCTTGTTGATATTATCAGATTTGTTGCATTACAAGGTTGTTCCAACAAGTCCAATATAATCATGATATACACCCTTTTCATAAATGGCTGCATGCCGATTATAAATTATTTTATGTGCATATAAATAGGCCCAACTAGCCTCGTACTCATGTTAAGATTTCAAAGGAATTTCTACTCAAAAACGAGGCTAGTTGGGCCAATTTATATGCACATAAAAGGGTGTATAACAATATTGTTACAACCTTGTGTCGTCAACCTTGTAACATTCTTGTTATATCATGACTGTAGCAGACTTGTTAGAACAACCTTGTAACAAGTCTGGCAGTGCCGTCAAGCTTGTTACAAGTTGTTAACAGCTTGTTCTAAACTTGTTACAACAACTGGGAACATTTTACGTGTTTTTACGTGTGTACTAGAGCTGGCCAGGCGTCACGTGATGCGTGCGTGGAAATTGTAGCTGACAGACTTGCTACAAGATGAGATTTTTACGTGTGTACGTGGTGATAATCATTGAAGCATCAGTGAGGTACAGCTAAAATATTTAACAATTATTGAATGAGCAGGGGTCGAAATTTGAATTTTTTGTACTATACAGCCGGAATAGTAGATTTTTATATTTACTATTCCGTTTGAAGATCCACTATTGACTATTCCTTAATGTACTGTTTCTGATTTTTATGAAATCATCCTTGAGACTCCTAAAGTGAACTGAATAACAGAAAATAAACATGTACAGTGCATTGCTCTGTACAGTGATGAACAATTTATTGATAAAAAACAAAGTTCAAACACTGAAATGAACTTGCGAACTTTGTTGCGAAGTTCGCGCCCAATTTCCGAACTTGGAAACGTAATTGGAAAATTCGCAACAAACTTGGGAACCGTGCATTGAAAAGTGACTTGAAATTGACAATAATATTGCTCGGCAAAGAAATTAGAATACGCAAGTACTGGAAGCGAACAAGAACTTAGCTACGAAATGGAACAGTGGCCCAAAGTCCGCTATAAAGTGATATATTATAAGATCAGGAAAACCCTTGCTTGTCGATATATGAAACCACAATTTTTTCTACTATACAAACGGAATACTGTGATCATGAAGTTTACTATTCTGTCACACATTTTAGTATATTCGGAATAGCGGAGTAGTGGGAATTTCGACCCCTGATGAGGTTGAGCATGATATCAAGGAAGCCTGATGTTGATAACATTTTTGGGTGACAACCTGAAACTTTCTATAAGTACTAGTTGTAAGTATAATCATTATAAATCGACTTACAGTTAAATATTTGTAAAATATATTATATTTTCACATCGCTTAGATTTTTCACATTGTTTATAAAATGTACCCAAAAATGGCGGATTTTGACCTTCGCGTGATCGTGAGAAAGGCTAATTCTTCATATCATGCGAAAACCGAATTCAATAATTGTTCTATTATTTATTTAAAAGATGAAGAGCGGCCATTTGTGTTGTGATACAATTCACTCTATCGGCAGTCCTCGTTGACGTGACGTCATAGCGTTTTCCAGCTGAAGACAACGCATATTAATAGACAGAACTAATTTGGTAAAACAATTTTATTAATCGAGAAAATATTACAACTATTATAATAATTGTTTTTACCATTGATTACAACTTGAATCAATCAATCATATTTTACTGTACAGCAGTTTTGTGCTTCGCCTGGTTTACCCTTGGGGTTCCCGAGCTTTCGGAGAGTAATCCTCTAAAAACCCTGCAAACTTTTGATACCCAAGGTAACCAGCTGGTTTCCATTTGTTAACAGTTGTCGCGACCAAAGCATGTTCGACGATGTAAATCTAGATCTATTATGTCTTATGTGAGCCGGTGTATGCAAATCAAGGTTTTTGGACATATCGTTGGATAGAACTATGCATAGTTAATAGAGTAGATGGTTTGGAAACTCATCAGAAAAACATCATATAACTCATTAGATAGCTTAAGATCTACGACGTCGACGTCAGCTAGGACGTCAGGGCTATGCAGAGGACTGGGACTAGGATGTCGTCCTAATGTAGTCCCAGTCCTCTGCTTAACCCTGACGTCCTAGCTGGCGTCGACGTCGTAGATCTTAAGCTATCTATTATCTATGTTAGTCAACGTTTATTCATAAATCTGGTCCTTCACCGTCACGCGCGTACTGTATTTTTGCCCGACTAACCAATAGCAATGTTTGAGGAAAGTTACCTATCCGTGACTCGAACAATAGGATAAATTGCTATTGGTGGATTTGGCAAAAATACAATACACACGTGACGATGAAGGACCATATTTATGAATAAACGTTGACTAACATAGATAACGAGTTATACATATTGTTATTCTAATGAGATTCTATTAACTATGATAGAACTAATAGCAGATGGATTTTGTGTAGATGGAATTTTCGAACGTACATTTCTATCCACTCGAGATGCCCAAAATCCCGATATTCACCATATACCTTACACTGGTATCACTCCACTATCTATACACGAATCTGTGAACTGGACTCCGTAGCTCAGTTGGTTAGAGAGCTGTACCCAGAGGGCCTATATATAGTTACATTTTTCGCAACTGCTCCTAGCTAGGTCTAAAGTGCATAGATATTTACGTCCGAAAATTACATATACGAAAAACCCACCTACAGTTTGCAAATCAATCTTTACTGATTATAGAGGTACTGTACAATGTACAGTATTAAATCCAGCCAGATCAAACGAAGGTGAGAGTGCATGAGAGACTGAGCTAGAGTTGGTAGTCACGCGACCTTGCTTAGCTGTTCTTAAGAAACAAGCAGAAACTCGACGTTTCGAGCGAAGGCCGTTCGTCGAGTTTCTGCTTGTTTTTTAAGGTAGTAATATAACCATTCAGCACAGCATTTTCACATTGGTACTACCCACACTGGTATACAGACAGTTTTAGCTGTTCTTAATGCTTTACCAACACTATCATGTATTCTGTTTAAGTTAAACATAGTCGGAACACTTCATCAAACCTTGATTTTGTTAATCTAGACTAGAGCTTAAAATGTTCCTCATCAACTCTCATCATTGTTTGACAGCAGCTCTACTTTAAATGCAAAATAGTCCAGATCTATCTTGTCTTCTTTGTTTGGTACGCAAAACAATCTTTTATGATTGCAGAGATAAATCGACGCTATAGTACATCGCGGTGCCTGTGATATGGTTGCGAACGTAGAGACTAAATGGAAACCAGGTTTTTAAATTTTTGCACATTTTATCCTATTTAAAAAACACACAGAATCTAGTCTTCTTTATAATGGTTTCAGAGAGAAGCAACGTATTCTTAACATGTTACACAAATCGTTGACCTAAAAATATAATTGAACAATATGAAATGAGTAATATGAAAATAATTGAACAAATTGATCAAGAATCGTACGTCCACATTACCGTGAACTGAAAAACTAATCGCAAAAAAATGCGTTGACCTAAAATATTTCCACATGTACGCGATATTTATTATGTCTTATTTCAAAGAACTTTTAAATGATAACTTCAATTTGAAAAGTTTGAAGTTGTCCGAGGATGACATACCTATGTTATATACAATTTGGCATCCAGGCGCCTTCAATAATTTAATACAGGATTTTACAGCATTAGAGAACTACGAAGGATCTTTGCAGTCAACTAAAAATAGTTGAGAATAATAAGTGACTGGAGAGCATAAGACAAAAGCACCATACGTACCACTCCAATACCATAATCCACATGAACGCAGCCAATGATGACAGTGTAGAAAGCTAGCACATACACCTCGTTGAAGCTGACTAGAAATAATGCTATGTCGATCAGTATTAAAGGAATGAACATATTGCTGAATATTTCACACTTTTGATGGCTCATCGTGTTAACAATAAGACGACACTGAAAGAGAAAAGTTAACTCCGTCAGTGTTCTCCCTAAGATGTCTAGTAAGGGACACCCTGATTGATCCAGTATTACTACAGGATGAAATGAAATGAAACTAACTTAATTTATACTGGGTAGCTCTATCAGTTCTAAACTACTCTCCCCAAGATGTCTAGTAATGGACGGAACCTAAACTGAACTAACTTTATTTATGCTGGATAACTCTATTTGTTCTAAACCTGTTCTCACTCTAGAGGTCCAGTTTGGGTCATCCCTTATTTGGTCCACTGCTACTGTGGGGGAGGACCAGACGTGTTTGGTAGAATTAAACTGAAAGCACTCTTCTCACATGCAACTGAGACAAGTGAAGATTGCAAGAATTGACATACCCCATACGTTTGAAAAAAATTTGCCCTCCAAACTTTTTGATCAAGTACATAATCACTGAAGAGAGATTTGTGCAGCAGTGTTCTGGGAACCTGTACATACACCCCACCGCCTTGGAAAAGCTACTGTACTGTATAAGGAGACTGGCACCCCCTTGCAGGTTCACTACACTGACATTGTGGGTGAGTTAGGGTTGGGGGATATTGCCCCCAACGTTCGAACACCTGTGAGGTAGTCAAACTCCACCCCTTGCCCCGCCCCAGTATATCCATCTCTGAAGATACATACACTAACAACTGTGCCACCATAATCCCATAAATGAATACAAAGAACATATGCTTAAATATAATGTTAAATATTAAGGTTTCAATTCGGGTGTTACATACTGTTATGTTTGAGAAGACAATTCCTAGGGATGTAAAAAACAATCTAGGATGTTCTTGAAGAATGTTGCTGGGCGAATAGTAAGCCCAGATAGTGAATAATGAAAAACATGTAAATAGAGGAATTCCGGGTTTCAATGCTTCCCCTAATGATAGACCACGATCTGTCTTTTCTACTTTAGACCTAATTAAGGAAAGAAATCAATGGTTAAACATTAACCCATTAAGTTGCTTTGCACCCTAATGTACCTTAATTACTTTATAATTATTTTACACTGTCTAACACCAGACAATTTTACTCACTCATAGGGAGACTATTGCAGACCTGTCAACTCTCCCGGTGCTGCCAGAAGACTCCCAGTTTTGACCTTTTTCTCCCGGTATCAAGGTATTTTCTCCCCGTTGCTTGTTTTAATTGTTAGGTCTTAGGAGGTGTTATGGAATATTTTCCAGATTAAAATATCTGGCAATTAGAAACAGTAATCGCAAGAAAATCACTTGTGTCCAAGCTGAAACTTACTCCATGAACTACAAGTGTTTGGCTTTTTTATCACTTCTGCACTATAAGCTATAAGTTGGATCTCGAAAACTAGTTACATTCCCGCCATGTTAGTATTAAATTAAACAAGTTGTGGAGGCGAATGCAATGATTATAAAGAAAGAAAATTATTAGAATTTTTACTGTTTCGAACACTGCACAGACCTGCCAACTCTCACGATTCCACCGTGTGTCACACGATTTTTGTACATTTCTCACGGTCTCACGACATGACTCTGTTTTCTCACGATTTTAATTCTTTATTTCATTTCTTGCAATTTACTTTGTTACCTCTACTTTTAGTTTGATACTAAGATTTTATTCAGACAGAAATTACTTGTTTATAATTCTTAAATTCCAGGATTTTTCATTTTCATTAGTTGAAGTAAAGTTAAGTCAGAAATTCCGAAAAAATACGTTAGTTTCGGGCGAGAAGATGCAGTTGGTTTTTGATAATTTTTTGCAGGCTAATGCATAAATTACATAAATTATGCATCACATCCCTCTATTTAAATACAACATAGCGTCAATGAAGTTCTTATTCAACAGTTTTTCCTACTGTATTCATAAACGTATTGTAAATGTTTAATAAATACAGTCAAATTTATTCATTCTCACTACTTTTTGTGAAATCTCCAGATTTTTTGTCACTAGAGAAGAAAATCTCCAGATTTTTTACTCTCAGGTTGGCAGGTCTGACTGCATGATGACTTCTCCTGGTTTTTGACAAAATCTCATGGTTTTTTAGGGCTAAAAATTTTAAGGTTGACAGGTCTGCATTCTTTACTCTGTCTATAACGTCATATATTATCTTACTCTGTCTGTACACCAGACGATTTTTCTTGTCAAGGGTCGAGAGCACTGGTACTCAATGGGCAAATATATGCATATAACGTAACCATTTGTTCAGTGGAACCTGTAAAAGGAATCTAGCAAGTATATCTCACCTGTAAATGTTATTCAAAGTAAGAGGGAAAAACAGGCCGAAGAACGACACTGAAATATAAATTATTTACAGAGTTAGAAATGACGCCAAAAACACTGAGTGAGAAATGACATAAGATATATTTTATAATGGCATGACATATATAGTCATAAAAAATCATAATGAACTCACAATGTGTGGTCCATTTAAATAGATGTGTAAGGTAAATATCATTATAAAGTGGTGTTTTCCAAAAATCAATACCAAAGAAATATGCACACAGGTAGACACCTAGCAACGTCTAGAAAAATAAAACAACTTTAATTTATAAATGTTAATTTTTACTTGAAATTCTGTCAGTGAGTCGTTCGGTTGGTCAGTCTGTCAGCTAGCCAGTTACTAAGTCAATGGTGATTGACAAATCATGCAACAATCAGAAATTACCAATTGTTCCAAGTTAAATACCTAAAAAACTAGTAAAGCCACCATTAAAGTGCAAAACTCTCCCCATGACGAGTACATGCAATCATCTGGCGTTAGGCAGAGTAAAATAATAAAGTAGAGAGCATTTGGGCACATTAATGCAGCTTAACCCATTAAATTAAGTCGCTTTGTGCTCCAAAGGCCTGCATGTCTTTACACTTGCAATTTTACTGTGGTTTCTAGTGCGATTTTCCCACTTCTGATGCATGTGAACAAGTGGATGAGTTATGAATGTTCTGTGTAAATGTATTCAAAGGAAGAAACTTGCACTAAAAATAACAGCAAAAATTGCAAATGTAACAGGCCTTAATGTGCCCTACTTTATTACTTTACTCTGTCAAACACCAGACAACTTTACTTCAGCTCAATGCATCACTTAATAAATCATTGTATCACAGTAATCACACAAGAAAATAAATTTGAGCCTACTAAGCAGTTCATGGCTTTGCAACAAAGACTTCAAACATGCTTTAGCTTAGCAAATTGACTGCCTGTAAACAGTTATTGTATTTCCAAAAGAACTGGTTGTATACAGTACAACAGTACAAGTTTAAAATAGCAGCCTGTATTTTCAACATTACAATACCAGCCGGCATTTTCACAGTGCTAACCGGCAACTTCTAAACTAGCAACTTCTAAACTAGCAACTTTTAAACTAGCAACTTCTAAACTAACAACTTCTAAACTAACAACTTCTAAACTAGCAACTTCTAAACTAGCAACAACAAGTTTTTCTTCTTAACCCTTTCTTAAAAGGGGAGCTCGTGCTAGCTGCCACCATGCACCCTGTTAACCCTTTAAGTGGCAATGCACCCTACTCTGTCTAATGCCAGATGATTTTACTAGTCAGGGGGACATCAGATCTGCACAATGAATTTATAGGTTTTGTATTTTTGCTGCCCATTTTGCTACAATTTTTGTACATGAGGGGGGAGGGTTATTTTCTGCGTAATTATTGAAATAATTCATTGAATGGTACACACACCAAACAGCCTACAAATAGATCTAAGTTGAAATTATTTATTTTAACCCTGAAATACGAAAAATGTATCGATTCCGATTATCTACTGGTCAATCACTGTCAATCACTGTCAGCCAGCAAACCAGTCAGTCTGCTGCATATTGTCCACATTGCAATTTTTTATAGGTAATCACAGAAGAAAAATGCTTTATTCCACATACCAACTGACTGAAATCATACGCCCAAGGCAAAAATAAGACTCCAGTTATATATTTCTCCCAGTGTGCTGTATAGAAACCTATCAATATTACCACCATTGCCCAGTGGTACTCCCAGATGTTGATAGAGAGCGGGCTTTGGCCAAATACAGAGCAAGTGCACACGGCTATTAACCATATCGCCATACTGTCGATACCATGGTCAAAAAGCTCGCCCAACGGTGAACTGGAAATAGACAGAAAAGAAAAACTTACATATAGCAATTTATAATGAAACATGACAGGTGACATACACGTAATATTGAAATGGTGACATATTATAGAAAATCAAATATTGTGAACTCTGTCTAAATTGTGACAGTGACTTTGGGCAACCTTTTTCAAACAGTGGAAGAAATTACTTGTTTTGAAAATCAGATGAATGACATGCATATAGTAGCTGACACTAACAGGACCATCATTACATGGGCAGATTCTATTCTGCAGATATAGAGGCCGGGTATTGCTTAAATCATTGGTGGTCTACCATAATAGTCCAGTTATATATCCACCTGCTGTTTGTTCTTCGCGCTTGCTTTCCATCACAGCCGTCGAGCGTATGTGCAACAAAATGAGCCAAGGCAATATAGATCCAAATCCACTGTGGTATGTGGTATTGTTTATGCAGGTTGTTATAAGAACCTGCGGCGACAATGTATGGATCGTAATAGGACAAGATGAGAAATATTGCAACCGTCAGGACCCAGCCTAAAAACGTCATAACATTGGGAGCAAGCCACATTGGAAATATCTACAGGGAAAGGACAGATTGCATATTACACCATAAGTCACATTATACAAAGGTAATTAAAAAACTTGCATTGCACCCTAACTGCCCTAACTGTATTCATCAAGGAATGAGCACTGGTGCTCATTGGGTTACCAGTTAAGTTGCATTGCACCCTAATACACCCTACTTTATTATTTTACTCAGTCTAATGCCAGATTATTCTACTCTTTCTAATGCAAGAAGATTTTTCTTGTCTAGGGGAGAGTGCTAGTACTCAATAGGTAAACTCGTCAAGTTGCATTCAACCATACTTTAATATTACCAGAGTGCGATAATTCAAAACTTTTAGTCGTATGCCAATGGTTATTGGTACCAGACCGTAACATTGGCGTACCCAGGTATGTAAGTACGCAAATTATTGCACCCTGTATTACTTTACTCACACTGCCTAACGCCAAAAAATTTGAGTCTTCAAGGGGAGAACACTGGCATTCAGTCAGTTAAAATGTTTGAATGTAGCCTAAAACATTAATACAGCCACTTACTACTAGGGCAGGGCACCCCAGGTTGCTAAGTTAGCTATTATTGAGTGCCTACCAAATTACGTTTCACAGAAGACCTTTGGCATACATGGTGAACTTAGCAAGATCCACCATGTGATTCTTATATTTGGATCTATAAATCTCACTTGAAATAGAATCTCAAAGCATTCTATAAATATTTGTGTGACAGCACATGATCAGGGTTAATAATTAATATCATCAACGATATCTTGCTGTGATTTCATTGCTATGCATACTTGGTAAAATTGCCTATAAATTCTACTAGAAAGGCCCAACGTTTAATAGCAAATAAGCTTTGCTAGGTTTTTATTTGATAGTAAATCCCAACCGTAGCGTATAATATAAACTGATTATTTAATATTTATACACGCGATCAAAAGATCAGGTCATATTTATAATACTACACTCCAGATTTTGCAAAAAGCCTACATCCACCGCTCCAAATTTACCCGAATTTTGCTAGTATTTTGGGAAGCCTACATAAAATTATATACAGCTATGTACAGTATTATAATCAAACCTTAACAGCTTTGTTCCAAAATGGATGCATCATGTAAACAGATAATGGACTCGTGTCCCTAGAGGAATACTACGTGTGCAATAAATTGATAAAAGTTAGTAAAAGCATTTTTCTTGCTAAAAATTTTACTCACAAATATCACTACCTTGTATCGTTTGAAGCCATCCAGTTGTGCTGCAGATAAATACTTTCTTGCCATTTTTTTTAATTTTTAAATGTTTTTATATTATGTGCTGGTTGCACAGTGTTTGTCTGAGGGCGTTTCGCAAGAGGGTAAAATATTCCTGGTATCATTTTCCGGCAGTGGGGCGAATATCGTTGGTATCATTCGCCGGGAAGTTAAATATCGTAGGTGAAATGACGAATACCCGGGTATAAGTATGCCGAAATCCGGTATCCTTTATAGCCACAAGCCGCTGAGGCTGTAAAGTATGCCGATATCCGTATACCGCCGTGGCTATAAAGCCAGTTTTCCACTCCAATCATACCAAAACGTAGAGTATTTCTTTGTTTCCTGAGCGGTAGTGTGGAATAATGACTTCGACCGGCAAAAGAAAATGGAAAACAGGCTTACGGAATACTGAAAATCAGGGACGCCGGAACGATAAAAAGGCAAAGGGGGGCAAACGCACATGCACCAAAGGGCACCTCTATAGATCCCGGTGAAGATATATAAACCTACAATAATGTGTTGACTTGTCAATGAAAGCAAATGCACTTAATAAAGGTCACATTCAAGATCACACCTCATCATTTTGCCCAAAAAGCATCACTGGAAATGTGATTTATCAGGTAGTATTTTAATACTCAAAGGGCACTTCTGCCCCCCTTGCCCCTCCTAGTAAAAGGCAAGAGGGGCAGCTGCCCCTCCTGCCCCCCAGTTCCGGCGTCCCTGCTGAAAATCATGCAGTATGCTCATAAGCATGCTCATGAACATATTACGGGATTTTACTACATATATAGGCGTACTCTGAGCATACCAAACCGCCATGGCTAATAAGGTATGCCGAAATCCAGCATTCTCTATAGCCACAAACCGCCATGGTTATAAGTATGCCGAAATCCGGTCTCCTTTACAGTCACAAGCCGCCGTGGCTGTAAGTATGCCGAAATCCGGTCTTCTTTATAGCCACAAGCCACCGTGGCTGTAAGTATGCCGAAATCAGGCGTTATTTATAACCACAAACCGCCGTGGCTATACGTGTGCCGAAATCCTAGTGTATCCTCTATACTATAGCCACAAACCGTTGTGGCTATAAGGAATACCGTAATCCTGTATCCTTTACAGCCACAAACCGCTGTGGCTATAAGTATGCCGAAATCCAGTACCTTTTATAACCACAAACTGCCGTGGCTATAAGGAATACCGTAATCATGTGTCCTTTACAGCCAGAAACCGCCGTGGCTATACAGTAAGTATGCCGAAATCCAGTACCTTTTATAGCCACAAACCACCGTGGCTATAAGGAATACCGTAATCATGTGTCCTTTACAGCCAGAAACCGCTGTGGCTATAAGTATGCCGAAATCCAGTACCTTTTATAACCACGTAGTACCGTAATCATGTGTCCTTTGCAGCCAGAAACCGCCGTGGCTATAAGTATGCCGAAATCCTTTATCTTCTATAGCCACAAACCGTTGTGGATATAAAGAATACCGTAATCATGTGTCCTTTACAGCCAGAAACCACCGTGCATGGCTATGTCAGTATGCCGAAATGCGGTTTCTCAAAAATTCTCAAAATGTCATTGTTTCACTGTAGTTATTTTATAAAACAATTACCAAATGGTTTTCCAAGCAGGATAGCGTGATCCATGCACGAGGGATGTTGCTCGACTTTCGGAAAGCGTAAAAATACACTCGCCTGCGGCTCGAGTATTTTTACGCTTTCCGAAAGTCTCGCGACATCCCTCGTGCATGGATCACGCAATCCTGCACGGAAAACCATTCGGTATTCCTTTATTCCTGCACGAGGAATTAAAATGCCTTCGTGGGATTTTCGCGGGATTCTCAAAATGTCATTGTTTCACTGTAGTTATAAAACAATTACCAAATGGTTAATTATAAAACAATTACCAAATGGTTTTCCAAGCAGGATAGCGTGATCCATGCACTTGGGATGTTGCTCGACTTTCGGAAACCGTATAAAAATACACTAGCCTGCGCTCGAGTATTTTTACGCTTTCCGAAAGTCTCGCGACATCCCTCGTGCATGGATCACGCAATCCTGCACGGAAAACCATTCGGTATTCCTTTAATCTTTTATAACCACAAATCTCTGTGAATCATGGCAAAATCCGCTATCCATTATAGCCACAAATCGGCGTTGCTATAAATATGCCGAAATCCGGTATCCTTATCATTACCATAGCATGAATATTTCTTCTCAAATTTATTCTTTATCTTAGATCATGGAACCTAGGAATTATTAAATGTCTTCTCATTGTTCTAAAAATCCCATTGTTCTCCATTGTGGAATTTTAGCAATTTTAATTTATGCAAGATCATGATAAAAAATTTTCGTCGGTTGGGGAAGTTACGTCGTGGTCAGTTTAATAGTGGTTGAAATATATCGAATTTGTGCGAGAAATCATTGCCGTGTTCTATGGCACCGTTTATCCTGAAATGGTTGTTACATGCAGGGATATCTATAAACATGGTATCAGGAAAATATCTACCCATACACACAGGGGTAAGTTTGCCTAATTACATTACATTACATGACTTGCTTCGCTTGGTTGCCTGCTAGCTTTGGGTTCTTTCCGCAAAATATCCTCTGTGACTATTTGCCTTGCCAAACCTTTGTTTTGCTTATACGTACATAACATTTACTACACGTCAGTTCTATCGAGAGTTTGCTAATTCTACAGTAGAGCCGTATAGTACTACAGGGCAATTTATACTTCGCTTCTTGACAAACACATACAGTTATACGGAATTTGGGGCTTTTAAGCCGGTTACAGACGAGCAAGTTTTCTATATATGGCAAATTTTCATATGTCAGGATGAGTTTTATTTGTCAATTTCCCATGTGTACCCTCAGATGTGTACCGTTCTTAGTTTTCTGCATGACCGCTAAAAAACCTGGTACAAACAATATTTCACTTTGCATCTTAACTCTTAAGGCCTGTTTTATACGTCGAATTTTGGTCGCGTCGAATAGGCCGTGGGCAGTTGCCGAAAAATTGCTTAGAAAAGCAATTTCGTGGCAAACCCTTGGGGAACAGATTTTCTGTGGTTCAATGCATATTACCATAGATGCTCAATCACCACAAAAAGTTCCCAAGCAGAAAACTTGCAAAAACACCGAGAATATTATCAGTGATTAGGGACCGGTCATTATTTATGGCGGGGGGTGGCACCGAACAGAAATGTTTTCCGTGTCAAAAATTTTGCTGACCCAACCATTAAAAAGACAAAAATTTGATTACCCAACCTCAAATATCAATTAAAAAATAACTACCCACCCCTGGCCAAAAACTTAACAAAAGGATACCATTCAGTTGTCATACATGTCCTTTATCACTTCAGTGACATGAGTTTGTTAACGGCTTGTGAAATTTTCTGCAGTCTAAAGTTTCATGTTGTCTGCACATGTACTTTCTTTGGAAACACAATTTGTTTTGTCAAACTATGATCAAGATAGTGACTCTGATTGATTCACATATTGTGTTGACAAATGACTGTTGACATTGCTTTTCAGTCTCCAATATTTCAGTGGGTCATGCATGCCTAATTGTTGCCCAGTGAAACTGACGATAGCCGATTTAATTCGCGCGAAAAGCATATTGCTCACAGGCTCAGTTCAGCCATATAATAAACCGATTATTGACCTCGCTTGTTCGGTCTGTACTGTGAAATATCAGTCTTCTGCAAGTTTTTTGAGGCCATACAGACCTCACGCTCGGTCAATAAGCCGTTGTTATCAAGGCCGAGGTTTGTGTTATCCGCTTGCTTGCAGCACGTTATTTCCGCTGTGACGTGTCAGCGTGCAATAATCGGGTTTTTTTGGACGAAGTTGTGTCCAAAAAGGATTATTGCACTCTGTAGAGCCCAAGCCCCAGCGCGGTCGGCAGCTTGTTAAAAAGCGCGCGCAATTTTAGAATCCAAAAACAAAATGGCTTGTAGAAGAAGCTTGTACAAATTGCGGTTGCCATAGAGTATTTTAATAAAACACAAAACAATAGACACTCCAAAAATTGTAAACATTTTAATTCATGTAAACATTCTTAAAATAATTTAATTTTAAAGCTTGAATTTTAAAGCTAGATTCGCTTCTTTTTAAAAGAAATATTGTCTGAAAAAGATTGTGACAGTATCGAAAAGGGTACGAACAAAATAGATATTTATTTTATTTTCTCTTTAAATATCGCGTTTTATCTTCCCCATCTTGTCTTAATTGTCGTGGGTTTTTTTAATTTGAAAGCGTGCAAAATAAAACAATTATCGGACTCGGCTATCGATGTCGGCAGATAACATTGACCTCTGTCTGAACACGGGAAGATGGCTGTGAAATTCATTAGAATAACAATATAACTCGTTATCTATGTTACTCAACGTTTATTCATAAATCTGGTCCTTCACCGTCACGTGTGTATTGTATTTTTGCCCAACTAACCAATAGCAATGTTTTAGGAAAGTTACCTATCCGTGACTCGAACAATAGGGTAAATAGCCTGCATGGCAGGCGGTATTTCTACGGGCAGCGAAAATTAGGGAAGCAAAGGAAATACCGTCTGCCGCAAAACTAGGGGTTTTTGAATTACCCGTCCGCTGGTGAACGGGAAAAACGGATTGGTTAGTATTTTTATGTAGTTGTCAATCAACGGCTAAATTCGGTTAAATGTTAATCATTAACCAAATGTTTTGACGTTTTGAAACTCTGCGTTTTAAAATTAGTCACGTCAAGTCAGACCAGAAATGGAATAACATAATAAAAGAAGCAAATTAAAGATACAAGCTGAAAAATAACACTCTAAATAGTGTTATTGATAGAGATTGGAACAAGAATACTTAACAAAGAAGATACGTCCGAAGGGGCCGAAGTTAATATGATCGGCGAAAGGTATGGGCTAGTCTATATTTTCGTTCAGACAATAACATGCGTATTATAAATTTGATAATATACGATTTCGCTTGACTTTCAAAGGCCATAAATCGCAATAATGTTGACATTTTACTAAAACTATCGATAGAAATTAGGAGATATTTCTTCACTGAATCGAACAGTGGGATTTCCATATAGGCCTATCATGTTCTATCATGTTATAAACAAGGGGCCGGTTGATGCAGTAATTATCAAATAACAGTTAAACTTTTATATACCCGCTGAATATGTATAGTTGTAAACAAATAAAAACTATCGTTCTATAAGGTTCAATACTTTCAGTTTGGTTGTTGACTGATGATGAATCTATAGTATAGACTTGCATCCTTTGTATTTTGAGCTTATTAAACCACCGTTTTAAGGCAGCTAAACGGCTAAGGTTCATATTAACACAAAATAAATTTCTTGATTCTCATCACTAGACACAGTCTACACTTTGAAATGTCGAAGACAGTGGGAGATTTATTTTTTATATTTTATATTTATATAGTTTATATATCAATAGTTCGTATCTCCACGAACAATGACAGAATGACTGAGTTTCTTTAAAATACAATGAAATTTCACTCAAAATTCTGTTTGTTTCAAATTGGAAGTTTAAAATGGCAATAAAAGCTCTATATAAAATATGAAAAAATTAACTGTCTTGAATTATTTTGTCGGGCGGTACATTTATATTGTATAACGAAATATAAAACGTCAGTTTCATGAGGATTTTAAAATTCAGTCGGGCGGTGATGAGAATCAAGGAATTTATTTTATGTTGGGCAGTTGGGACTTGGGAGCAGCTTGGGAGTGGCTAATTTTGAATATTTACTTAATTAATGCATCTATAAATAGCGTTGATACTTCAGGGGCGGTAGTTCATTTACACCCAGTTTTGCGGCAGGCGGTATTTCCTACGTACCGCCTGCCATGCA